TCACAGGTGTGATATACCATCTATACATCATTTTCATCATATTCTCTTTCAAAGCATTACATGCTGTAAATTTTATTCTTTCTTTCCACAACCTCTCCCATTCTTTTAGTTGTATATTATATCCAAAATCCATGGCTGTCTAAAACGTTATCATGTTACAAACTGTGGTGTTTTCTGCATTCCAAACTGCACGGTGATCCACGAAGGAAGGGCGGTATATAAATTTAAAAATAAATTAAAAATAAAAGGTGCTTTAAATGGCTGGTGTGAATGTGGCCTCAGTACAAGACAGCTCCTATGATTTAGGTGCCCATTATGGGCAGCTGATTCTATGTGCTTTGGAACTTTTTTAAAAAAACAACTTTAAAATTTATTTGGAACAGGTGGGTGTAGAATTCTGTTGCAGCACAAACAACAAAGAGAGGCAGATTTCTTCCACCTGAAATCTCTCCTCCATCTTCCAGTTCTTAGCAGCTGAGTAACCAAGTGATTAGAAAGCAAACTGGTATACAGGTGTGTGAGAGACCAGCCTAGGATGTGCTTAAATCTACTGTATGGATATTTACTTTTTTAAAAAATGTGCAGCTATCGACCAGGTAAATTGCTGAAGGTCACTCTGCCAAGATAAAAAAAACTAAACTTCAATAGTTGAATATGAATTATCTCCCCTTCCTCCCTTCCCCCTCCCCTCTCTTATACACACTGAGGACTGTCATCCAAACAAAACAATCTTAGCTTCTTAATTAACTGAAATATATCTTTCATCAATTTCTCCTTTTAAAAAATTTACTTTTTTAGATAATGCACACATATGTCAGAGCAGACCTCATCTTTGAAAACGCGTTGCCTCTTCTGTACCACGCAGGAGGGGATGCCTCAATTAAGACGGTGGATGCCATCTGCAGTATTAAAAATAAATCTGCCGCCCATTTAATTGGGGGAGGGCGCATCGTTAACCTAATATTAACTCAGGAGTTGGCCATTTGCAGGTCTAGGCTCACGCGAGGCCTGATTCTACGAAGAACGAGGCTTATTGTTCTGCTGGTGGCAGGGAGGAAGAATGGGAGAGAGCAGTTGGCGGTGAGAGGAAGAGAGAAGCGTGTGGTGGCAACCATTTTGGGCTCTACCCATGCCAACCTATCAGGGGGTACCAGCCATGATGGCTGTGGTCTACCTTCACTCTTGGAGGCTGCATGCCTCTGTGTACAAGCTGCTATGAATCGCAAGTCTCCATGAAAGTTCATCCGCCTTTTAGTGAGAATTCCTCCAAATACATTTTCCGTTTGCAATTTGTTCGCAGTTTCGCAAAGCAATTTCCCCGAACAGAATGCATTTGCATTTGTTATTTCCACTCGTGGGCGCTTTGATGCACGCTTGACCTTTGTCCATGCATTTCTGCACACATTACAGTGTTACCTCAGGTTAAGTACTTAATTTGTTCCGGAGGTCCGTTCTTAACCTGAAACTGTTCTTAACCTGAAGCACCACTTTAGCTAATGGGGCCTGCTGCTGCCGCCGTGCCGCCGGAGCACGATTTCTGTTCTCATCCTGAAGCAAAGTTCTTAACCTGAGGTACAGTGGTACCTCGGATTACAGACGCTTCAGGTTACAGACGCTTCAGGTTACAGACACCGCTAATCCAGATATAGTACCTCGGGTTAAGAACTTTGCTTCAGGATGAGAACAGAAATCGTGCAGCGGCGGCAGCAGGAGGCCCCATTAGCTAAAGTGGTACCTCAGGTTAAGAACAGTTTCAGGTTAAGAACGGACCTCTGGAATGAATTAAGTTCTTAACCGGAGGTACCACTGTATTTGACTGGAGAGGTGTGTTTTGGAATTGGGGGTGGGTTTGGTTTTTTTGCAAAACGTCCCACCCCACCCACCCACCAGCTCCGCCATTTGCCCACTCGACTGTAAAGGGTGCTGCTCCTTTCCCTACAACACGAACAATTCCAGCCATGAGATTTGCAAGGAAAGTAGTCAATGGCAAGCTTTATTTTCTCCTGCCCCAGAGGGCAGGACTTGAACCAATGGATTCAAATTGCGACAGTGGAATGGACTCATTTGAAGAGTAGTGGAGGTTTTTTGGAGGTTTTAAGCAGAGGTTAGGGGACGTGGGTGGTGCAGTTGGTTAAACCACAGGCTTGCCGATCAGAAGGTCAGCGGTTCAAATCCCTGCGACGGGGTGAGCTCCCGTCGCTCGGTCCCTGCTCCTGCCAACCTAGCAGTTCGAAAGCATGTCAAAGTGCAAGTAGATAAATAGGTACCACTCTGGCAGGAAGGTAAATGGCATTTCTGTGCACTACTCTGGTTCGCCAGAAGCGGCTTTGTCATGCTGGCCACATGACCCCGAAGCTGTACGCTGGCTCCCTTGGCCAATAAAGCGAGATGAGTGCCGCAAGCCCAGAGTCAGCCATGACTGGACCTAATGGTCAGGGGTCCCTTTACCTTTACCTCTAAGCAGAGGTTGGGTGGTCATTAGTCCAGGATTTTTTTTAGTAGTGATTCCTGCATTGCAGGGGGTTGGACTAGATGACCCTCGGAGCCCTTTCCAATCCCACAATTCTATGGCTCTAGGACAACCTTGTTGGGGACACTTGCTCTCTAAGAAAATAACTGCATTTGCTTCCCAGCTCCTCCCTTGGTCTCCTCACCTGTTTATTATATTCCTCAATATCTGCTTGAGATTTCAACTTTTGACCAACCAATTGGTTAACTCCAAGGTGTCCTCCGGTTGACTGCAAATCCCATCAGCTGCAGCTAGCACTGTGAACGGTCACAAATGATGTGAGTTGTAGTCCAACACCTTCTGGGCGGCACCATGTTGACTACCCCTGAGTTAACCGATGAGAAACCTTCTCAATGGACTAAAAAGGCACACGCACCGATTAACCAGGTGTGTGGGTGTTTTAAGAAAGTTAATTATTTTTAATATAGATGCTTATTAGAAACAGCAGATGGCGGATGGTGAAGGGACATAGCTCATTGGCTCAGCAGATGCTCTGCATCATTCAGCCTGGACACTGAAATCCAGCTCCGAGGGCCTTCTGGTGGTTCCCTCACTGTGAGAAGTGAGGTTGCAGGGAACCAGGCAGAGGGCCTTCTCGGTAGTGGCGCCCGCCCTGTGGAACGCCCTCCCATCAGATGTCAAGGAGATGAGTAACTATATAACCTATAGAAGACATCTGAAGGCAGCCCTGTATAGGGAAGCTTTTTAAGCTTTAATTTTTATTATGTTTTTATATGTGTTAGAAACCACCCAGAGTGGCTGGGGCAACCCAGACTGATGGGCAGGGTACAAAGAAATTATTATTATTATTATTATTATTATTATTATTATTATGCAAAAGATCCCAGGTTCATCAATTCCCAGTGCCTCCAGGCAGGGCTTCCAGCTGGGACACAAATCCAGTCCCTGCAGGTCTAAAACAAGGCCGCCTAGCCATGATTCAGTGGTTATTATTATTATTATTTATTAAATTTGTATACCACCCTTCATCCGATCTCAGGGCGGCTTGCAATCAGGCGGCACCAGATTTAGGCTGGTGTGGGCGGTTCCCACAACCACTTCGCCAAGCAGGTGCAAGTCACAACTCATAAAGCAATATTCCCTAATCAGTACCAACTGCACTGAAAGGAATTAGTTTAAAATCAATATTCAGGGCACCATATTACCAAAGTCTGTTCCCGAACCAGAGGTCCGTGTGCGCTGGAGAGGCCAACTGGCCACATCCGCACCATGTCATTAAGGATGCTTATACAGTGGTACCTTGGGTTAAGTACTTAATTCATTCCGGAGGTCTGTTCTTAACCTGAAACTGTTCTTAACCTGAAGCACCACTTTAGCTAATGGGGCCTCCTGCTGCTGCTGCATCGCCGGAGCACAATTTCTGTTCTCATCCTGAAGCAAAGTTCTTAACCTGAGGTACTATTTCTGGGTTAGTGGAGTCTGTAACCTGAAGCGTATGTAACTTGAAGCGTATGTAACCCGAGGCACCAATGTACTCCTTTAACAGCCGTGGCTTCCCCCCCCCAAAAACAATCCTGGAAACCGCAGTTTGCTGCTGGGAATTGCCACCCTGTGGAGAGTGAACTACGGTTTCCAGGATTCCTTGTGGGGTGCCAGGACTGTCAAAAGCGGTACAAAGCATGCTTCCAATGTGCTGTGTGGATGTGACCCACGTGTTTGCTTGCACATTGGGCGCCCCCTGTTCCTGATGGTTGTCGCGTCTACAGCGGGACGGGAGGAGAGAGCGATAGGGGGGAGGATTTTAAAAGGCACCTTGCAGGATCCCCACATTGTTCCCAAACAGAGATGGGTCTAGGAACGATCCAAGACATAAGACCCAACTCCTAGTGGCCGAGGTCCCTTCACCACCCCCTAACAAAATGAGGTACATTCCCTCCCTCCCAGTGGCGTAGCGTGGGGGGTGCAGGGGGGGCCGGCCGCACCAGGCGCAACATCTGGGGTTAGGGCAAATCCACGGGTTAGGGGGCGCAAATCCACAGGTTAGGGGGCGCAAATTACTTGCCTTGCCCCGGGTGCTGACAACCCACGCTACGCCGCTGCTCCCTCCCCAACCAAAGTTGATGGGCATTGCCATTCAAATGGTGCGTGTGTCTTGTGATCAGTTATGTGGGGCAGGGCTTACCTGGGGCCCCCAATATTTGGGGCACCCCTGATCCCAGATCTATGCCCCCCTCCCCACGAAAGCCTCATCCAGCGCAGGAGCGCCGGGTGGGCTCGGGCGATGGTAAAGGGGGCAGGCTCACCTGAGCCGAGCTGGCTGCTCCCCTCGCCCGGCGCCCCTCCCCGGCGCGCGAATGGTGCAGACCAGCTTGCAAGCGTCCGGGTGGCTCTCCCGTTCGCAGGCAAGCGGAGGATTGGCTCGTGCGCTCCCATTCATGCAACCTGCCTGGCTGAGTGCGCCGCGCTCGCTTCGCCCCTCCTGCGCCTGCCTGCCTGCCTGCGTGTGAGTGTGTGTGTGTGTGTGTGTCTCTCTGTGTATAAGAGAGCCAGAAGGCGAGAGAAGGAAGAGAGAGAGAGAAGCAGAAGAGGAGGAGAAAGGCACGCGAGGCGTTTTTTGGTGGGATTGCCGCTTGCTGGGAAGCCTGGACATTGGGAAGCAGAGAGAGAGAGAAGTCCTGATCATCATTTTCACCTCGCTTGGCGAAGAGAGAAATCTGGTGCTGAGAACGGGGAACGGGGCGCTTCCTTTTGATTTGGGGATTTGGCGTTTTTCATGGGTTGGTCTCTGCATGGCTGATCCCGCCTGGTTTTAGGATGAGCCGCGGCCGCTTCCGGGCTTGATTTAGCGCGATCCGCACAGCACCCTCCCGGCTTGGGATCCAGCTGCTGGGCAGATCGGAACGCGCAGGCGGAGCGGACGGCGAGCCCTGCAGAAATGGTAAGCGCCAAAAGGGCTTTTTTTAATGGTGATGATCTTCCTCTTCCTCCTCCTCCTCCTCGAAGGTCCCCTCCCTGCTGCCTCCCCACCCCCACCCCGTTACCTCCCTGGCGCTGTCCTCTTTTCCTCCCCACCCCCACCCGAGTCAGGATTTAGAGAGATCTGCCCGGCTCTCTCGCGATCGCCAGCTGCCTATCCCACCCTTTGGGCCCGGTTCGTTTTGTGCTGCAATACAGTTGGAAGAAAATCCATCTCTTCCATACACCCATATATATATATGGACGTCTGGCATTTTTTTTACTCGCATAGGCGAGAGAAGGGCGATTTACCCCATAAGCAAAGACACCCCTCCCTGCCTTTTTTTGCAACGGCTTGGTTCTCTGCTTTTCAGCCCCCGCTACTATTATTTTTTTAAGAGATTGCAGACACGAATCCGTACAGCTGCCTCGGGTTGAATAGCATTGCCCGAGGGTCGGCGGATCCCTCGCCATGTAAACTAGGCACAGACCTTCTCTCTGTGCTGGAAAGCTTGTGGCAAAAGCCTGCGTGACCCCCTTTCTCTTTCCAGTCATTCTTTGGAGGGGGGGGGGCACACACACACAGAGAGAGATCCTGCCCTCAGTTCTGCTGCTAGAGATGTGGGAGGAGGAGATTTAGGGAGGGAGGGAGGAGGAGTTTTTGCCCAATAGATCAATAAGTTATTTCAGAACCACAGGCTGAAAATTAGAAATGGGGGGGGGTGTCACCTGCTATTCCTCCTCCCAAAATCTTCCTATCCTGAGAGTCTCCTTCCTCACCTTGACTCCCCCACCTCCTTCCTTTGGTCTTCTATGGGTCTGTTTACATCTGCATCTTTGAGGAGCTATGCATACTTTTACCAGGGTGCAAGTCCCGTTGAACTCAGTGGGACTTCTTTCCAAGGAAAATCCATGCCTGCTTAAAAAGAGAGAGAGAGAGAGGGTCGTTGTTGCTGTTTTAAAGACTGGGGCGAAGTTTTCGGAGTTCCAGCTCCAAAGGAAGGAAAGAAATCTGCCCTCCTGCTAATTATATTTCTAAGCACTTTCCTTCCCATTCTTGGCAGCCAAGTTAGCACTGGGAGACCCTACACCCCTTGAACTCTGGGATTTGCTTCTGAGCAGACATTTATAGGGTTGTGCTTCTGAAGGTGTTGCTGTTGTGTGTCTCAGGGAGTGATGTTGCTAGGCGCACGCTGAAATTTGGAATATATAGAGAGAGGAATGCATAGGTAGACACCCAAATAACATGTCCTGCATTGCATTGCCTGTTTTAGTATTGCGTTCATGCGCACACACATGTGCATATTTTGGGCAGGGGGAGTGGGTTTAGATACCTTGGATTTCAGAAGGTAGAAAGTGTCTGTTTTTGAACTTGTGTAGCCCTGAAGAAAAGAATGTGCTGAAAGAATCGCTTCCAGAACAACACATCTGTCATACGTTGCAACCATTGTGTTGTGCTGTCAACCATACTGAGAAAGAGTTTGCTTTTTTGAGACAAGGGGTTCAGCATTCCTCTGGTATGTCTTGTCCTCTTCTGTAGCTGCAAAGCAGATTTGCTCAGGTGGCGGAGACTTTCTAGAAATATATAGTCCTGGCCTTCTAGAAAAGCTGATTTATTTATTTTTGGGTTGTTTTCTTTTTTAAAAGATGTGTTTTAAGGAACAAACAAATCAACAGCTGCTAATTTGAATGTGTTCTTTTCCAATGCACACACAAACTTTAATGATCTTGGGCTACCAAATGGCTTTGGGCATCTGATGGGTTAGGTCTTGGTTGCACATTCCTTCCTCTTTGACTAGACACCGTCTCACGGCAAGAGCAAAGGAGGTCTAACTCGCCTCCATCTCCATACTGATCTGCTTGGTTGGCCCATTAATGCAACTCACTTTTGGGAGGTTCAGAATGCTGTGAACGATGGCAGAGAAGAATGACCCCTTGTTTTTTTAAGAAAATGTCCTTCATCCAAGGCACATTATCACGCACCATGTGCTCTTGCCATGTTAGGTGCAACCACAAATGGAAGCTAGGATGTGTGCTTGATACAGACTCCCACTGTGTCTTCCTCTGGACCTGGAAGCATTCTGAACCAAAGGCAAGGTGGAAAAAATGCATCCGAGAGAGAATATATTAGTTCCCAGGGCAGCATTAGGTTTGGGGCAGCCTGGCTGATTAGTTATGGACTCGAGTAATTTGTCTCCGTTTAATTTATTTCATTGGCCTTTCCAGGGCCGGAGATACCTGTGCTTCCCCCCATTTCACAGCCTGTATCTACTTTTGCAGGCTTTGATGAAAGAGCCAGCATGCTCTAGGTAGTAATTTCTCTCTCTCTCTCTCTGCATGCTAGGCAGAACTTAAAGGGGGAGGTTCACCATTCCTGAAAACCTTGCGTTGTGGCAGAGATTGAAGATTGGAATCCGCGAGGCTGGATAGATTATTCTTTTAGAATTCATACAGAGAGAGAGAGAGAGAGAGAGAGAGAGAGAGAGAATCTGTACCTATGATAAAGAGAGACCACTCTCGCTTCTGCCTTCTTCCCCGGTCAGCGTGCTAGAGCCAAGGCTCTTGCCGCAAGCCCGCCGGATAATTCCTCCCTGGCTCAGACTGCTTGGGGCCATTAGGCTTCCCTGCTGCCACAATCCCCCTTTGAGGGAAAGGCTGTTTGGGCAGGAAAACCCCGCGCCTGGGTTTCTTTTCAGCAGCTATGTGTGTTGAAAGTGGGCTGAGATTCTTGGGCATTTGCTAAAGAAGGCTTTCTCCAGTCACCTATACAGAGGCATGCTCAATGCTTGGGTGTGTGCTGCTTCCACGAGAGAGAGAGAGAGAGAGAGACTGGTGCACTGCCACATGTCTCCGCGTGCATGAACGCACTGTAGTTGTGTGTGTGTGTTTCTGTTTGCAACCTGTTTCCCTTGAAAACTAGCTGTAACAGGAGAACCACTCAGTCAAGGAATTCTACAGGGAGTCTCTCACAACTGCCAAACCACCTTTCTGCATTCCACCTCTCCTTTTGCAACCACCACCACACACACCCCAATATATTTGGGGGTGGGGTGTCTCTGTAGGGGAAGGGGTTGAGAAAATGTGCTTCTCCTTTGACAAATGTGCAGTCCCAGAGTCTGTTGGAGCCGATGAAGACTGTGGCAGATTTACTGGAAGAGGCAAAAATGTTCTGTATGTATATGCGTGTCATTGAGTAAAAAAATTGGAAAGATAGCTGGGATTACCGTACTTGTCTGGTTTCTGGGATTACTGAGGTTAAGTGTGTGTGTGTGTGTGTGTTTCAGAGAAATAGCACTTGGATATTCTGCTATATTGCTAGCACATGCTATGCTTCGCCTTTATTTTTTAGGGAAACGAGTTTTGAGGCAGAAGCTAGGAGTGAGCAAATCTGTCAGTTTGGGTTTCTCATTTTCCCCATTTTTAGATTTGGCTCTTCACATTTCCACACCAGTTTGCAATTTATTTATTTTCGAGAGCCCTCTTGAAAACCCACCAGCGGTTTGGGGTGAATTTTTCCTAATGCACATGTTTTGCATGTTGCTTTTGCCCAATGCACACTTTTTTGGAGGTGTAAACAATTTCTCCTAACGAGATACATTTGTGTATGCTATTTTCCCAAAGACGTGCATGACTGTGCAGAGTTTATCCCCGCATATGTGTTTTTGTGCACATTGCTTGGCTGACACTGCAAAATTCGGAAAAGTGCGGATTCAGAGAAGAGTGGCTGTGCTTTGGTTCTCAGAAACCCAAAACCGTGTTTTCAGAAAGGGCATATCAGGTACGCTCAACTTTGAATGCAAATTGAATTGAATTTCTTTGCCCACCCTAGGGGACTGCTATTTTTTCTTTGTGCTGTTTCAAGAGACTAATTGGGACCTGATATTTCTTTACGTCCCCCCGCTCCCCTGGCATGTATAACAAGAGAAACCCATCTCTTTCCCCCAGCATCCGCAGCGGTATTTCAATTAAAATACTTGTGCTCTTTTGTTTTATGTGGTCCCCCATTCACATGCATTCTGCTACCCAGGAGTGCAACAGTGCACTGAACTCTGGTCCCACTTCTAAAAGGAGGAAGATGCTCAAATAACGAAAGGTCGTCTTTTCTCTCCCTCTCTCCTTTTATTGTTATTTTTCTATCCCAGGGAAAGTCAAACCCAGTTTTGTTCACTTTTCTGCTCCAGTGGTTCGTTTTCTGACAGAATCACGTCCTAATCACAGAGCAGAGCTGAGATCTTATGTAACTTGATGTCTCCAGATCTAACGTTGCAAGTGCCACAGTAAGGAAAACGAAAGGTAGGGGGTGTTTGGCGAGATGAACGGTGAATGACACGAGCGGCTTCCTATTGCAGATTTCAGATCAATGTTGCTTTAAGTCCTTAATCCCAAAATGCTTCGATAGCATTGACATCGGTCAGATGAGATGGAGCCTTCAGCCTTTGTCTTGTTGAAACCCACAGGCTTCTTACTCCTCAGTAGCACCGCCAAATGGGGGGATCCTCTTGCCCAGTACCTGCAGGCTTTGAACCAGGATGGAACAAGATAGGACAGGTGTGGCTAACCTGCCACCCTCCAGATGTTGTTGGCAGGGTTCGGAATTAGCCAGGCGCAAGGCGCATTTTGCACCTGGCTTTTGACCACTTGCAACCAAGTGAAGATGCCTAGGGGCCAGGAGGAGGCCTGACATTTCCACCGTCTGGGGATCATTGGATCCGGGCTGTTTTCACACACTCATACCCTATCCTGCAGAATTCTATCTGTTTATTTTACCTGCACAATGCATTTTGGGAACCAAAACGCCTTTTCTGTGCAGCCTGAGCAGCAGCAGTCGCCATTTGGGAAAAGAGGTTGGAATAGGCCAGTGTAGATGTGTACTGGCAATGGATCAAGTGACGTTTCCTTCTCAAAGCTCTTAACCCAGCTCAAGGTTGTCATCTGAACTAGCCAGATGTTTAACAGAGAATCAATCACAGTCAGTCCGTCATT